TCGTCAGCATATGAGACTATATTAATACCCTCTGGTGGCTAAGGAAGCTTTGATATGTAATAATTAAACAGTAGAGGGGACAGGACACAACCCTGTGGTACCCCTGTTTAATTTTACGTGGTTTGCTGGTTTTGTCTCTGAAGACTACTGACGAGTGTCGACCACTCAGGTAATTCGCCGACCACCGTTTGAGTCCCTGTGGGAGTGAGGAGGCCTCTATATCTTCTAGTAGCGTTGAATGACTGACAGTGTCTTTTTAAGACGAATTAATAAGAGTAAAATACTCGAATTTTTATATTATAGAAGTATTTCAGCTTATTGCAATTTTAAAACTCAAAAATTTAAGAGTAAAACTGAGTGTCTCTTCGACTCAGTTTTCTCTAATGAAATGAACTATTTTCTCTTTCCTATTAACTCAATTAAGAGATTTGAAACATTACAATTACATCTTAAAATCAAATTTGCAATAACAACTAACTATAAAAATGAAAAAAAGAAGTTAGAGCTCGGTTAACGGTAATTTTTTGATTTGCTTCTGATAGTATTCTAATGTCGCGTACGTTATGCAAAAACATTGTTTGTCTATGTCATTTGTATATTGGCAGTCGCAGGTAATGCAGATTACAATTCTTAAGCGAGAATTCTTCCAGTTAAGGATATACAGTAAAATTTTCTTTCCAACCGAAGTAAAACAAATTTTATTACCCTTAAAAGTTTGTCGCATACGTTATTGTAGTACGAAAATTTCAATCAAATACATCAAAACCAATGTTAATTGCAAATTTTCCATTTAAATTATTTAGAATAGTTGTAAAACGATGAAACGGTGGCGGGAAGAGTTCTCAATAAATACATTTTATTACTTAGAGAAAAATTGTCGCTACGTTATGTCGCGTACGTAATTTTTTTTTTTTAATATAAAACTAGCCAGAGATAATTTCTCTTAAAATATGAAAGGATTGTAAAGGTACATTATTTAGCTTAGTTTAGGAATGTTTAAAGAAAAGAAAAACTCCCATGATTCGCAGACTTTCGCATATATGCGTGTTAATATTTTTTTTAATAAAAACTAACCAGAGACAAATTTCTATCAAAAAATGGAAGGATTGTAAAGGTACATTATTTAGCTTAGTTTAGGAATTTTTAAAGAAAAGAAAAACTCTCATGATTCGCAGACTTTCGCATATATGTATATGGCCCTAAAACCACTTCTTTTTTTGTCGCGTACGTTATCACCTGGTTTTGAACGGATATTTCCACACCAAGAGTTCGAGGCTGCTTATTTTTTTCTCAAACATAGTACCCTTTGGTTTCAACATAACCGTAATCTTTTTTTTCAGTAACTTCTATTTTTGATAGATTTACGTTACTCTATAAGCGTACGAATGTCGCGTACGGCTGTATGGAAACACCCATATGTATGTAAATACAGGTAGTTTATATGTAAGTCGGTATATCATAAAATACACTAAATATAATATTTTCTATGGCCTTCAAATAGTTACACAGAATAAAAAAAGTTGACCAATCGAGTCTTGGTTTCACAATTTTCTTGAAAAGGCGAGCAAAGACTTTTGTGTGCAAATACCCTTTTTGCCTGAAGTTCTAGGAGTATGTTGAGATCTTGTAAAATCTCTCTACCTACCCTTTGTTTATTTACCACTAATAATCGCGTAGTACATTGATCTATTATTTTTTATTGCCCAAATAATAGACATAAGAACGATTATAAGAAATGTAAACATAACAAAACTGTCAAAGCTAAGCTTCAAAATGAGGGGGATTGCCAGATGAATGTACGTAACCAATAGTTATTCAAGACACGAACCATCATATCGGTATAGACACGAATTGACATGGCCACTATGAAAACGCCCACACTGACATACGATAAAAGAATCGGTGGTCACATCCCATGAGGCTAGAAAAATATTTTTCCTTTTGGAATTGGACACGGAGCGAACCACACTCATCAGCCCCCGCAAGAACGGAATTACAACCAAGTAATTAAAGTGGATTAAAAGCTTGTATTAAAAGCTGGCGACATTCGGGGAGTCGAACTCATCCCACAGTGGAAATTAATAGAGGCAAAAGGTGCCGTCACATTCCTTCCGGGAAATCCCCAGCCATGTTGTTGCGTAGAATAAAGAAGTTGTGAGCATCAAATCTGGACTATTCATTTAACAGCAATTGAGTCACCATAAGCCGGTAATACAAAATCATTACACGTAAGTCAGCCACTTTCTTGCCACCATCCATTGGAAACGAGCTATCCATCAACCGTAAATAAAGATTCCTGTTTGGACCGACAAACCAAGGTCAAGCAAATCATTGGCGTCCAACTAAACGGATGAAAAAGAATAAGTTTTCGTTGAACATAACCACACTTAAGCCCGGCATAAAATAACCGCGTGCTCAGCTGAGGGAAAATAGCAATTCCATCATCGAATCAATTTAATACATCATAAAATTAGATCTAAGGAAAAATTAAAATCTTTTAGTCGTTTTTCTCATTTTTTGGTCACAAAATTGTACGTCGGTGAACCAAACATATTCCAGTTTAATAGATTTTTGATAATTTTTTCTTTTAGAAATTTCGCTTTATAAATCATCAATGAGATTGAATCAAATAATTATCTTTTGAATTCATAATCACTGTAAATCAATATCGTCCTCAGTCTTCACACGGCATGATTTAATTGATTTTTATTGGAGCTCGTTTTCAATCAAATTTTTTGTGGATATTTTGATTATTTAATTCCGCGGGGGTGAATGGTGATCGATCTGCGATGCGAACACCATTGATCAGCAGTCATAACCATTCTCGTTCAGTTCAGTTCGCCAATTCTGAAAAGTAAGTTAATTGATTTTTTTTTATCAAGTAACACCACACATCGACGGTCAAGATTTTTGAACCGATAATTTTTCATTTCGTCTTTCGGTATAAGTTTAAGCAACGTAACCGATAACACAGTCAACATTAATTGAACCAAACTATTAATTTTTCACTGTTAATTGCATTATTTTTGAAAGTGGATATTCAAAACGACATACTCATGAATAAAATAATAATAAATAATAAACTGAAGTAAATACTGTACTGATTTTAAATCGAGTACCATCATCTTAGAACATAGACTTTAATAGTACGGACTTTACGTCTACCGTTGGCAGAATTTTTTTAATAATCGGAATTGGTATTTGAGTCTTTGAACATGGAATTGTTTCCCATTCTCGATGCAACTTATTTGACAGACGAACAGCGACAGATCGAAGGGGAGATATATAACCTATATCCAGCGCCTGTTCAATGGACCGACACCAAAATAGCCGCCCTCAATGGTAAAATATCTGCTTACGTTGGCCAACCATGGTTGATAAAATCCCATGCCATACACCAGATGAATGAGTTGGAAATATGTGAGAGAGCATATCGGGAACTGAAGGCGAATGAGGTGTTAACACCTCAGGGTCGTCTTCATCAAATGATACATTATTGTTATCGAAGCGCTTGGTTGAAGTTAAAACCCGAGTCGGCGTCACGCCAGGCAGATCTGATCGGAAAATTTCAGTCGAAGATTCGTGAGCTTCGGATGACTTCACCGAATACGGGAAACCCGACGTGCGATCCCCAATTAAGTTTAAACTCGACCTTCCATGGTTTTGAGAACGAACGGGGAACGATGAGTTCAACTCAAAATACTGTTCCATCCCAATATTTACCCTTAACCATACCAGATTCGATTCCAAACCTGAATATACCGACTTCGGTTCAGGCAATCGAACCACGGTACACCCTGACCACTAGTACGGTTAATTCAAATCCTCTACCAGCCGTTCTCAATTCAATGTCAGGCGGGACGAAACCAACACCCTCATTACACCAACTGTCCGATATGGTGTCTGAGTTGTTGAGAATCCAAACACAGATGCAACAGCAAATGATCCGTGACCGGATTCATTTACAGACACCAATCCCTGACGTTCGTGTCATGAACCAAACCATGCCAACGACCCTGGATACCACCCTTGGCGGATCCTCCTTATGGTTCTTTGGGTGGTCCTCCAACCTTACAAACTCAAACGATCAATACCTACCGTGGTCTTACAACGTCACGGAACCAATTAATCAACCATCTCATTTATATCCGAATTATTCGCTATCTGGTCCACCACAATCACGACCAAATCAAGCCACTATATTCGACGAATCTGCCCAAGCGGATGCAATGGATAGGAAATTCAGAGGCTTACCTTCATGGATGGGACGTGCTCAATTCGATGGCGTTCATGTGAACGAAAAATTTCTATCGGTTGAAGATTATTTGGCTATTATTGGCTCATTTCGATATAAGATTGGAGTACCCGACCACGAATTGGTTATGCGTTTGGTGCCCACACTGTTGTTGTTGTTGTAGCGGCTACAACAACCCGCCCAGATCGGCTGATATCTCAGTCGTTGTCGTCGAGTTCCACTAACGGCAGCCCCAAGAAGCGTGCAGCCTTTATGGGGTCATGCTGTGTTGTGTTTGAGCGTGGGTGTGATGATTGTGTGCTGCCCAGGCGGGTGGTGATTTGCCGTGGAGGCGGTCCGGTTCGCACAGCATGGGGCCACGAACGACGTGGTCCATTGCCGGTGCGTACGTAGGCCCGAGCAGTTTCGAAGGTGACTCCACCCGTCAGAGGCATTGCACCTGACCGAAGTGGAGTTTGTATGCAGTCGTCTCTGGCATACGCAGCAGGTGTAGATTTCTGGCCCTGGGTTTGACTCTATGCCAGCCCTGAGCAGAAGGGTGCGGAGAAGGTGTAGCCCTGGGATCGAGCAACGTTTGAAGGATTTCGCCGACCTAAACGGGGTTAGATCGCCGAAACAACAGCCCTTGGTCGGGTAAAACCCAAGTCATTCCGGTACGTAGAACCGGCTGTCATTGCTTTCACCGCGTTTTAATTTTGCTTACAAATGCAACCCTGCTCATCGTTTGACACTTTTTATAACTCAATTCGGAATAAATGTTTATTTTTTACTATTAATATTAAACAAATTTTAAGCTTCACATATTTTATTTTAGTTTTGAGAACAGATGGTGTGCAGCGCAATGATCCAATTCCGTTACATAGTCAAAAAGTTCTTCCATGCACGTTTCGGTTGTTTTAGACCTGCTATTTACTCTATCATTGCATTCTTGATACTNGCAATGATCCAATTCCGTTACATAGTCAAAAAGTTCTTCCATGCACGTTTCGGTTGTGTTAGACCTGCTATTTACTCTCTCATTGCATTCTTGATACTTGCCATATAGAGCTTGTATATTTCCATTATTTTGACACTTTTCCTAAAAGAGAAAAATACATTTATTTAGAAACCTTGATAATCGTGATATTTGAGTTAAAAGATTTATGTACGTACTAAAGCACTGCAAATATACCAGCAGAAATACTCTTCACATGTGTACATGAGTAAATGGAACACACACATATGTTAGAGTACTTAAAAAGATAGGAACAAAAAAAGAGAACATCATAAATTTGAGGAACTGAACAATCTTTCTCAACAGCGCTCTGCTACATAAAACACTCTTCCACTTTTCCAGAGCACTTGAGTATGTTGATTGCATTCAATAGTATTTGAAAATTTCATAGGAAGTATAGGAATACTTATGAAGTTGTTTCTTTTAAAATGTTAGCATTTCACATAATGTTAAGAAAAGACATACATTTTCTTTTTATTCTAATATATACTTAAAATATCGGGGTTGTTCAGGATCTTTTGCATATGCTCTTGCATTTGCATATTCGTTGCATTTGTAAATTCACAACAATAAAATGCACACGGTTGGCATGGCAGCAAGCATAAAATTTGCAAATGCAATTCCAACTGCAATTCTAAGAACATTTCCACAACATCGTCAACATCCCTATTGTTTTATATTTAACAAGCGCCGACGCACACTGGTCCCAATTCAAGAAATTATGGAATTAGGGTCAATATTCAACGAATCGATCTGATTTTTTTTCTGTTGACAGCTTACGCAATTATAAATAACTTTTGTTATAAGCAATTTTGTAAAATATGAACTACTTTTAAGAAAAAAACTATTATTTTTTTTATATGGAGAAAAACTAATTTTTAGAATTTTAAAGCGCACTTGCCACGAATCCGAAATGCGGCTTATGGTACATTGTAGAAGGTATTACTGTCCAAAATTTCTCTGTAGACACCTATTATATAAGTCTGCGGCCCTAAAAAATACAGACACTTAAAAAAGATTTGAACAGCAATATTAAAATTAAAGGCATTATAGGGTTAATTACNAATTTTTTTTATATGGAGAAAAACTTATTTTTAGAATTTTAAAGCGCACTTGCCACGAATCCGAAATGCGGCTTATGGTACATTGTAGAAGGTATTACTGTCCAAAATTTCTCTGTAGACACCTATTATATAAGTCTGCGGCCCTAAAAAATACAGACACTTAAAAAAGATTTGAACAGCAATATTAAAATTAAAGGCATTATAGGGTTAATTACAGTTAATAACACAATAAACTATAAGTTTAGACTATCTTTGGATCTGAATCCGGTGTATACGAATATTTCCCGTGGAGATTTTGAATTTTTTTTAACCGTTTAAGTTTCTTCCGTCAGACACATATGGGTGTTTCCATGAAAATGTCAACCAGGACTGAAAAAATAAAAACAACTGAAAAGGGTTTTTAAGACGAATTAATAAGAGTAAAATACTCGAATTTTTATATTATAGAAGTATTTCAGCTTATTGCAATTTTAAAACTCAAAAATTTAAGAGTAAAACTGAGTGTCTCTTCGACTCAGTTTTCTCTAATGAAATGAACTATTTTCTCTTTCCTATTAACTCAATTAAGAGATTTGAAACATTACAATTACATCTTAAAATCAAATTTGCAATAACAACTAACTATAAAAATGAAAAAAAAGAAGTTAGAGCTCGGTTAACGGTAATTTTTTGATTTGCTTCTGATAGTATTCTAATGTCGCGTACGTTATGCAAAAACATTGTTTGTCTATGTCATTTGTATATTGGCAGTCGCAGGTAATGCAGATTACAATTCTTAAGCGAGAATTCTTCCAGTTAAGGATATAAGTAAAATTTTCTTTCCAACCGAAGTAAAACAAATTTTATTACCCTTTAAAATTTGTCGCATACGTTATTGTAGTACGAAAATTTCAATCAAATACATCAAAACCAATGTTAATTGAAATTTTCCATTTAAATTATTTGAATAGTTGTAAAACGATGAAAGGTGGCGGGAAGAGTTCTCAATAAATACATTTTATTACTTAGAGAAAAATTGTCGCTACGTTATTGTGTTTTTTTTTTTTTAATATAAAACTAGCCAGAGATAATTTCTCTTAAAATATGAAAGGATTGTAAAGGTACATTATTTAGCTTAGTTTAGGAATGTTTAAAGAAAAGAAAAACTCCCATGATTCGCAGACTTTCGCATATATGCGTGTTAATATTTTTTTTAATAAAAACTAACCAGAGACAAATTCTATCAAAAAATGGAAGGATTGTAAAGGTACATTATTTAGCTTAGTTTAGGAATTTTTAAAGAAAAGAAAAACTCTCATGATTCGCAGACTTTCGCATATATGTATATGGCCCTAAAACCACTTTTTTTTGTCGCGTACGTTATCACCTGGTTTTGAACGGATATTTTCCCAGCACCAAGAGTTCGAGGCTGCTTATTTTTTTCTCAAACATAGTACCCTTTGGTTTCAACATAACCGTAATTTTTTTTTCAGTAACTTCTATTTTTGATAGATTTACGTTACTCTATAAGCGTACGAATGTCGCGTACGGCTGTATGGAAACACCCATATGTATGTAAATACAGGTAGTTTATATGTAAGTCGGTATATCATAAAATACACTAAATATAATATTTTCTATGGCCTTCAAATAGTTACACAGAATAAAAAAAGTTTACCAATCGAGTCTTGGTTTCACAATTTTCTTGAAAAGGCGAGCAAAGACTTTTTGTGCAAATACCCTTTTTGCCTGAAGTTCTAGGAGTATGTTGAGATCTTGTAAAATCTCTCTACCTACCCTTTGTTTATTTACCACTAATAATCGCGTAGTACATTGATCTATTATTTTTTATTGCCCAAATAATAGACATAAGAACGATTATAAGAAATGTAAACATAACAAAACTGTCAAAGTAAGCTTCAAAATGAGGGGGATTGCCAGATGAATGTACGTAACCAATAGTTATTCAAGACACGAACCATCATATCGGTATAGACACGAATTGACATGGCCACTATGAAAACCCCACACTGACATAGATAAAAGAATCGGTGGTCACATCCCAGAGGCTAGAAAAATATTTTTCCTTTTGGAATTGGACACGGAGCGAACCACACTCATCAGCCCCCGCAAGAACGGAATTACAACCAAGTAATTAAAGTGGATTAAAAGCTTGTATTAAAAGCTGGCGACATTCGGGGAGTCGATACTCACCCCATCAAATCTGGACTATTCATTTAACAGCAATTGAGTCACCATAAGCCAAAATCATTACACGTAAGTCAGCCACTTTCTTGCCACCATCCATTGGAAACGAGCTATCCATCAACCGTAAATAAAGATTCCTGTTTGGACCGAC